TCAAAAGGAAATTAGATGGACTGACTGAATTGGTCTACAGACAGCCAGAAACTCAATAGGCTGAATAACTGCACACTGTACAGTCTATGCTGTAATGACTCTGACTCTGAAGACATGGAAAATCAGCAACTGAGAGTCAAGCAGTAGGGGGTGATTCTTGCAGAGAATTAAGTCCAGACAATTGAAGGTGGTGATGTAATGTAACATAACATGTGGATTCTCACATAGGCAGTATAAGACAGAAGAGAATTAGAGTACATTTTAGAATAGTTCCCCTCCTGCCTAAAACATATAGCAGTCAATTTTCTGTTCCCTGTAATACAGGTATAACCCTATAGTCTAACTGTTAGTGCTTAGCATTGCACACGTAATTAGGAGACACTGTGAAGTCTAGTTTTGAAAAATTATGCAAACTTATAATCGCTTAAATCAATCCCTCCAGAACAAAGTAAAATTATCAGGCAAAAAGTGAAAATTAAATATTTCTGAAACATCAATCCTGTACAATTTCAATCTTTTAACGTGAGGCAAATAGGGTGAAGAAATATTAACAGAAACATTGATAAATATCTGATAAATAAGTAAGAAATCATGAGAGAACACGGAGCAGTAGGAATAATTTTAGATTGCTTCAAAGAAACAGCAGACACATAGTTAAACAGTCTCTTTCCTTCCACGGTGCAAAGTTTTGCTGTCAGATTACAGCTAATGCAGGATCAAGCCGGCATTCACATTTAAGAGGAAGCTAGATAAACACAAGAAAGGAAGGAATAAAGTTAAGGCGAGCAGAGAGGATGCGGAAGGTAGGCCACGTGGAGGAGAAGCACTGAGTACTTGATCTGAAAGCCCCATTTTGGTCCCACATTTTCATCTAGATCTACATTGGTAACATTTCTGACCCTTGAGATGGAAAGAGAAAGCAGAGCAAAAGGAAGTGGTGGGCAAATGGGCCTTGTAATCACATACCAATATAACAGAGGGCAGCCTGAAAAGCAGGAAGAGAGGAAGGAGGAAAATAGCCTTACCAAATGAGTGGTCACCCTTGTGGTTTTATTTAGAAATTTCTGCTCATTCTTTAGCTCCTTCTTTTCTTCCTTACATTTGCACGAGGTAAGTTCAAATTGAATTCATCAATTTGGTAATGAAGACTGGTACAAAACTGGAATCAAAGCTACTTGTCTGAGGGAAGGGACCTATCCAGTCTGACCCACTTGTCTATCCCCACTGTAAATGGTTTAACCTTCTGAATATCCATCAAATCTGCTCAGCAAGCTCTTCAATTGTACAAGGAAATAAAGCAAGATCTTGTCAGTCACACACACCAGCAGTAAATTAAATAGTAATCACTAACTACCTGTTTGTCAACTTGTGCTTTAGTTTCTGCAAGCTTGAAGACTGAAGGGAGGAGGAAAATAGCTGCTTGGTTGTGTAGAACTTGAGTAATAACTATGAAGAGATTCCGCAGGACAGACATGCAAGAATACAAAACTCCAAAGCGATGACTAGAGTACACACGCCAACCAATCAGCACCCGTTCTTCATGCAGTCTAATCGGTCCCTTTTTGACAAAAAACTTCAGCTAAGAAAAGCCCAAGAAATGTCTCATTAGTTTTTAGGCTCCAAGTAGGAGACACACGCGTCTCAATCTCAGGGTTAATAAGTGGGATAGTAGGGGAGTCATGCAGTGTCTGGAAGTTGAAAGGAAATGAGAGAGCAACAGTCAAAGAATTAATGAATATAGTCACATGAAGAGCACAAAAATTTTAAGAAAAAAGGCAGAGGAGGGCAGAGACTAACAGGCATATAGCTTGAGACAGCATAGATATAGAGAAGCTAGCTCCTCTTATGGGAGAATCAAAAACTGGGGTCACTGTTTCAAGATCAGGGTCACCCATTTAAAACTAAGATTTTGAGAGCCCTGAGACTTTGGAACTCTTTGAAAAGATGGTGGAAACAGAATCTTTGAAGTTTTTTAAAGTAGTAAATAGATTCTTGTTAATTAAAAAGGCAAGAGTTATCTGGATAGGTGGGAATGCAGAATGGAGGTTAGAGCAGCGATTATCTTATTGATTGGCAGAGCATGCTTGAAGGGTGATATGGACTACTCCTGCAGCTTGTTCACAGTTGTAATTCACCTGTGCCTGGGATTAAGCACTCAACTCTAAACCAACATGGCAGTCACAATGTTCCATTCATTTACCTTCCCAGCTACATTTTATGGAAACAATGCTGTCTACTGAGTTAGAGAATCAATTTTAGATGACTAAAGTTAAAGCTAGTCAATTGTTGCTGCTCAGTAAATGACATCACAGTTGATGAGTAAATATGCTGAAGGTGTTACACCAAATCATACCTCTCAAGCACAGTGCGGCAAGAACTAAAGCAATCATTTTTTCGTAATGTTTATGCAGAAAATGTTAACAGCACATTTATACTTCCAGTACAGTGCCAGAATGAAAGTTGGAATTTGCAGTCACTTTAAAGGCCGCTTGAATCCAGAGTCAGCAAATATGAAGAGTAAGATAAAGATAATAGTCACAAAGACTGAGGTCAGTGGTTTTCTTGAACTGATAGTGATTCTCTCAGCAGCCTCTGTACTCCTTTATACAAGTATTTTGAAAGGGATAGGAAATAACCCTCAGCATGAAGTAAACTAAAGTTCTGATCTCAAGGCGTGAGGTTGGAGTGCTGTACCCAAGAATACCTATCTTGCATTCATTAGTAAGTTACAAACAACTGGTTGACATTGGGTAAACTACCAGTCCCTGGAAATAGATTATATTAATGAGTACTCGGGGACAGAGGCAGTCCTCATTAGACAGTTAGTTATCTTCTTCAGATGGAAGATGAAGAAGGAAAAATGGAGCAAGACCAAGGGTAGAGTTTCCCTACACGTCGGCCACAGAGCAAAATGCTGCCATCATAAACTATCGAGACTGATACACACCGAGGTTGTTGGCTTGCTCGCCAAGCTGGCTGGTTATCGTACAGACGCTTCATCACCATGCTAGGTAACATCAGTGTGGCCAATGAAGCAATGTTGTTCTACTCCACTTAGTATTAATATAATCCTGCCTGTTAAGATGGGTGGTGTCATTTCTGGTTCTGTTCTGCATGGGTTTGTATATGGGTGTCTAATTCCATATGTTTGTTGATTGCACTATGGGTTGAAAAACCAGGCCTCTAGGAATTCCCAAGAGTGTTTGTGGTTGGCTTGAGCTAGGATGGTCACGTTGTCCCAGTTAAATTGATGGCCTTCATTGTCCAAGTGCACTGAGATGAGGGAAAGTTCGTCATGTCGTTTTGCTACGAGCTGATGTTCATATATCCTCATGGCTAGTTTCCTTCCAGTCTGGCCAATTATAATGTTTATTACAGTCAATGCAAAGTATTTTGTAAATTACATTGGTCCTGCACATGATAGGTATGGGGTCTTTGGCTCTTGTGACTGTTTGTGGCTATGGGTTTGTGTGCTACCATTATTCCAAGTGGTCATAGGAGTCTCGTTGTCAGAGCTGCAATGACTGCAACAAACAAACCTAGCACGGTGACAAAACAGCTGTACAATAACTAGCCAGCTCGGCAAGCAAGCCAACAACGTCATCCACAATCCAAGCTACAAATCTTTTCAAGAACCTTAAACTGATACACACTTTACCAACTGTCTGTTCATCGTCTTATCAGAGAACCACTCTCAACCATCGAGAGTCACGGACTTTTCTGGTATATTTAGCTCATGTATTAGACCTAAACTGTAGCAAACTACTTTAAAATTAGTTTAAAATCGTCAACTATCTTGGGAACATGTGGCTCCCAAACCCAAAATCTTCCAGAGAGGGCTGTTATCGCATGAGTTACTGTGTACGGACAGGACAAACACATTCAGCATGTTTGAATTGTTTCAACACACCTCATCTCGTTATCACATCTCCCACAAAATCATCACACTAGATCAGCTGAAAAATCACCACAGGGTGAAAAAACAGAGCCAAACAAGAGTTTAACTGAGGAGAGGTCTTTCATCTTCATTAAGGTACTTCAGATCATAGTCAGGGAAGGTGAAATGTGATATTAAGGGATATTAACAAAATTACTCTTACCAATTCTTTGAAGTACTCCTCCCACAGTTACACAAAACATGCTCATGATAAAATACATGGCATCGTCAATTGCGGAAACAAATGGATATTAAGATTTTGGAGTTTCACAAATTGGTAGTCACATATCTAAAATTCTCTAATTCGTTCTCTGTCAAACTTTGTCAGACTGGCACTTCCATACAAATAAGAGTGCTCACTCCAATGGACTAGTCAATAAAGATAACAACTGGTCTGTGCCAAGTCACCTGGCCTCACCAAAGTCATGCCAACCTCTGAAACAGACTTTACTGGGTGAAAGTGTCAGGTTTGAGTCAAGGAGAATGGTCTGTGAGTACTCACGATCTAGACTCACAAATGAACACAGGTACTTGGCTAAGGTACTGTATCATGTCTAATGGAACTACACTCCATATAAATTTGCACTTTCAGGAGAGGAGGGTTAACAGTGAAGAATGCAAAGAAATAAATTCAGGAGTAACTTTCCCAAGACTCTAAGGCCTGAAAAATAGCTTTTGCAGATTGTAAAGTTCCAGATGTGGTACCCAAATTTCTAAAGATTTAATTCAATGACAGACAACCAAGCACTCTTCACTTGGACAATGAACAAAAAGAGAAGTTGCTGGAAAAGCTCAGCAGGTCTGGCAGCATCTGTGAAGAAAAAAAATCAGCGTTAACGCTTTGGGTCTGGTGACCTTTCCCCGTTCTGAGGTTGCCAGACCTACTGAGCTTTTCCAACAACTTCTGTTTTTGTTCCTGATTTACAGCATCTGTAGTTGTTTCAGTTTCTCTTCGCTAAACAGTCACTACAGCTACATTTCAAAATTCATTGCACTGGATTTATAAAAATAAATCTAGATAATCTCCTTCAACCCCAGCGTACATATCGTGCTCAAGTCTTACCTTCTTGCCCTCTGTACTTCTTTTGGCAACCGGTTTGGGATTGACTTCAGGCTCAATGTTCTGTGAAGATTCATTTAAAGTAACATTCAGAAGAGCCTTAAGATACAAGCTACATTGTACAATACAAATTTCTTAGATGATTCAGACAGCAAGAAGCTGAGTCGCATAAACTAAGAAGTCTCTCGATTTGATTCTGAACTGTGTTGACAGAGCCAGGTGAACAATAGGAACTTGACAATTCGGATCAGCGCATCTGCTTTAAGGAAACGTTCGGCCACTGGCATGGGAAATGACTGTAGGGTCAACACAGGTATATCTACTGTTCCTAAGTAACTCATTAGAGGCCATAACTCACTGGATTCAACTCACTGAATCATCTGGGTGATGCCATTCTGTTAATGGAGAGAGACTTCCACCGCAACTACAGTGATAGATTAATATTGTCCTATAGGCTTCACAGAAAGAACAGTTACAGTAAAAGCTGTGAGATTTAAACACTAACTACACGAACATGCCAACCATGGGATTGAGGAATGCTAACTGCCAACTTTTACAAAAACTGTTGCTTACCGAAGTTCTATTCAGCAACGGCTTTGGTTGGTCAAAAACCTTTACCGGCAGCTGAAAAAGAATTCAGATATTAAATACTCAGATGTACAAGACTATTTGCATTTGTGGAACATCTTTAAAACAAGAAGCATTCCAAGGTATTTCAAAGTAGATTTGTCATTAGTGTGATAGCACTTCTGGGTATAAAACCAAAAGGAAACTTCACTGAGGGCTTGTCGAGATGCAGTGGAATTGACCCTAACTCTGAGCCAGGAGACAGGTTCAAGTCCTACCTACAACAGAGATATAACATCTCTGAACAGGTTGATTAGGAAAGGAAACTTCGCTGATGCAAGTATGAGTCAGGGACCTGTCCTGACACACATTTCTCCCAATTTCCCGTCCTGCAACTCCATCACTGTGGGGATAGGGAAAAAAATAATCAGCCTTCAGGCATAGGATTGTTGTTCTCAACAGATTTTCATCAACTATATTTTAAAGAATCCATCTGTCTGACCCAGCACGCCATCCTATTACTAACAAATGCTGGGACAGTCATTGTTGACCAGTGATGTCTGAGCATCAGTGTTAATTTTAGAACATTCAAACATTAAATTGCTAAAATGAAACATTGCCTTTGTAAGAGAAATTTCCTCATCTTTTCCTGCAGGGATAGCAGAATAGACATAATTCCTTGAAAAATCATTTTCTAATGAGGAAACTGACATGTTCACAGTGTACACATGGAACAGAGCCAACATGCAGTGCTATCACACTGGAATGGCATGGACTTAAATGATGGAAATCAAGCTTGGACGACAAACCAAAAGGACTTAGACACCAAGGAAAACAGACCATTTCACTCAAACCAAAGGCTGCCAAAGCCTTGCAGATACATCTGAATCTTCAGGAATGGAAAATTAATTTCCTGGACTTTGTTGCAAGGAACCCAAAATAAAAATTCAGTGCATTAAAACAAAATTGCGTTTCTTTCATTTTCATGAAACAACTTAATTAACCATCATAAGAATGAGAGATAGAACAAAGTTTCTAATCCAGCGGGTATTTGAAGGCTGAATGTCATGTGATGATTATTTATTTTATTGAAATCAAATGCAACACAACTATCCTAATTCATTCTTTACCAGGGAGGTTACCTCTCTCTGTTGCTCATTCTCCTGTATTCTTTTAGAACCAAGCTTAATATTACTTAATCACAACCTTCTGATTTGATTCTCTTCTATCTTGCGATCCATGGGCAGTTATTTCCAAAGAGTTTTTTTTGTTTAGTTATTTTTGAAGAAGTAACCAAGATAACTGAAGGACAGAGCAGTAAACTTTAGTAAAGCCTTTGGCAAGGTTCCACATGGTAGACTAATTAGTAATGTTAGATCACTTAAGATTCACAGTGAGCTTGCCAACTGAATACAAAGAGAATAACAAGGTCCCGGTCTAGGCCCGAAACGTCAGCCTTCCTGCTCCTATGATGCTGCTTGGCCTGCTGTGTTCATCCAGCTCTACACCTTGTTATCTCAGGTTCTCCAGCATCTGCAGTTCCTACTATCTCTACTACAGCTGAATACAAAATTGGCTTAATGGCAGGAGATAGAGTGATGGTGGAGGGTTGTTTTTCAGACTGAAAGCCCGTGACCAGCAGTGGGTCCATAGGGATTGGTGTTGGGCCCACATTTGTCTGTCATTTTATATAAATGATTTAGATGAGAATATAGAAAATATGGTTAGTAAGTTTGCAAATGACACCAAGATTGATAGTATAGTGGAGAGTGAAGAAGGTTATCCAAGATTACAAAGAAGTCTTGATCATTGGGTCAATGGTCTGAAGGGTGGCAGATGGAGTTTAATTTGGATAAATATGAGGCATTGCATTTTGGTAAAACAAACAAAGGCAAGACTAACAGTTAAAGTGAACCCCTAGGGGTTCAGGTACATAATTCTTTGAAGTTTGCATCACATGTAGGTAGGGCTGGTTAAGAAGGCATTTAGCACGCTTGCCTTAATTACTCAGACATTTGGTATAGGAGTTGGGACATTATGTTGAAGTTGTACAGGACACGGGTGAGGCCTTTTCTGGAGTACTGCATCCAGTTCTGGTCTCCCTGTTATAGGAAGGATGTTATTAAGCTGGAGAGGATTCAGAAGAGATTTACCAGGATGTTGCCAAGAATGGAGGGTTTGACTTATAAGGATAGGCTGCAGCTTCTTTCACTGGAGTTTAGGAGGGTGAGAAGCAACCTTATAGAAGTTTATAAAATTATGAGGGGCACAGATAAAGTGAATTGCAGTTATCTTTTCCCTAGGTGGGGGATTACAAGATCAGGGGTCATAATCTGAAGGTGAGAGAAGTAAGATTTAAAAAAAGCCCCAAGATCAACTTTTTCCAGAGAGTGGTTAGTGTGTGGAATGAACTTCCAGAGGAAGTGGTGGATGCAGGTACAGTTACAACATTTAAAAGACATTCAGATAAGTACATGAATAAGAAATATTTGGAGGGATCTGAGCCAGGCGCAAGCAGGTGGGACTAGTTTAATTTGGCATTATGGTCAGCACGGGCTGGTAGGACCAAAGGCTCTGTTTCTGTGCTGAATGACTCTAAGGAGTCTGATGAATAAAATAGCTGAGCTTACAGATTGACACCTCATTCCCAAGCATTCTCAGTTATTACTGAAACATTTCTTAAAGGAGGACAGGAATGACAGCACAACATTACCAGTTACAAGGTTTCCACCCTGTTTAGTGACAGTAGATTATATTGATCATTACCAGTATGGAGGCCATACTAACTGGACTGCAGACCAAAAATTTAATCTGACACTTGGATAAGGATAGGAACAGGGAGACAGGGAGTGGGGAGAGGAATCAACACAAGTTAGGCAGATTCCAGCTCTGAGGGTCTGAGATTAATATCAGGCAAAACTGGTGTGGTCGAATAGTTGAAAGCAAATTGAGGTTAGTGACTTTATCAAACTGAATTATTTTTTGATTAATTGTTGTCACATGTACCTAGGTACAGTGAAAAGTGTTGTGTGCTTGACAGGCAGATCGTACCATACAAAGTGCATCGCAATAGCAGAATACAGGGTTACAGCCACAGAGAAGGTGCAGAGAGAGATCAGAATTAACATCTGAGACATTTGTTCAAAAGTCTGATAAGTGGGGAAGATGCTGCTCTTGAAATTATTGGTATGGGTATTCAAACTTTTATACATTCAGCCGATGGGAGAAGGTGGAAAAAAAAAAAGTATAACCAGGGTGGGAGGGGTCCTTGTTAATGTTGGTTGTTTTCCCGAGGCAGGGAAAGTATAGATGGAGTCGATGGATGGAAGATTGATTTACATGCTGGAATGGACTGTGTTCATCACTCTCTAGTTTCTTGTGGTCTTGGAAACAGCAGTTGCCATACCAAGCTGTGAGGTACCCAGATAGAATACTTTCTATGATACATCTATAAAAATGTGGACAAGCCAAATTTCCTTAGCTTCCTGAGGAAATAGAGATGGTGTTGTGCTTTCTTGACCATCGCGTTGACGTGGGTGGACCGGGACAGATGTGTTGGTCATCATCACTCCCAGAAACTTGACACTTTGACCAGCTTCACCTCAGCACCACTGATGCAGACAGGGGTTTGCCCCCTACTCTACTTCCTGAAGGCAATGACCAGCTCCTTCATTTTGCTGACATTAATGGAGAGATTGTTGTCTTAACACCATGCCACTGAAGAACTTAGTAGTTTTCCTGTATTCTGTCTCGTCATTGTTCAGATCCAGCTACAACAGTGGTATCATCAGCAAATTCGTAAATGGAGTTGGGGCAGAATTTGGCCAAACGAACAGTCATGAGTGTTTAAGGACATAATTACACAAAAGAACAAAGGCAATCCAAGAACAAAAGAAAAATAGGGTTAAGATCAATTGCACGAAGGTGGAGGGGACACAGGAGGAGGTCCAGATAGGGAAATGTAGGCTTACAAAGCAAAGGATATGGCCCCAGCGCAAGCAGCAATTTAGGTAAATGATAGCCAGAGTGGGACAGGAAAGGAGTAGCTTTATTAGGATCATAGCATCCCTAGAGTAGAAAGAGTCCATTTAGCCAATCAAGTCTGCACCAACCCTCCAAATAGCATCTACCCAGACCCAGACACCCACCCTGACCTATCCCAGTCACCTTTACCATTGCTAACCCACTTACCCTGCATTCCTAGACACTATGATGGAATTTATCATGGCCAATCCACCTAACCAGCACATCTTTTGACCATGGGAAGATACCAGAGCACCCAGCGGAAACCTAGGCAGACATGGGGAGAACATGCAAACTCCATACAGACAGTAACCCAAGGCTGGAATCAAACCCAGGACCCTGGTGCTGTGAGGCAGCAGTGCTAACCATTGAGCACTGTGACACCCCACTGTAGGATATCATCGGATGTTACTATAGAATGAAGTAAGTTTCACAGGAAAAAAAAAGGATCTTGGGTCAGAAGACGGAGAATCCATATTGGATAAGGTAAGAAATAACAAGGAGAGGAAGACACAGGTTGGAGTCATTTATAGGTCCCATAATAGGAGCTTATAATGGTACAGTAGCTCAGCGGTTAACATTGCTGCCTCACAGCGCCAGGGACTTGTGTTCGATTCCAGCGCCTGGTGACAGTCCGTGTGGAGTCTGCGCATTCTCCCCATGTCGGCATGGGTTTCCTCTGGTTGCTCCGGTTTCCTCACACATACCAACAATGTGCAGGTTAGGTGGATTGGCACACTAAATTGCCCATGGTGTCCAGGCTAGGTGAATGCAGGGTTACAGGGATGGGGTGGGTCTGGGTGGGATGCTCTTTAGAGGGTTGTTGTGGACATGATGGGCTGAATGGTCTGCTTCTGCACTGTGGGGATTTTATGATTCTTTAGTGAGGGCATGCAACAATAAAAGTAGATTAATCATGGAGTCTCTTTCATCTACATGTCAAGTGTAAAAATCAAATTGGCAGAGGTAGCCACGAAGAAAAATTCAGACTGTATCCTAGAAAAAAAAATATGTTTTAGCTCCAATCGGGGTCAGGTTATTCTGGATCTGGTGATGTGAAGTGAGGCAGGTTTAAGAAATGATGTCAGAGTAAAAGAAGAAAAAGTCACTGATAGGCATAGTCTATAAGCCACCAAATAATAACATCACATTGGGACAGGCAATAAACAAAGAAATAACTAATGCTTGTAAAAATGGTACGGCAATCATTGTGGGAGATTTTAGTCTACATGTCGATTGGTCGAACCAGGTCAGTCAAGGCAACCTTGACAGGGAGTTTGTTGTATGTATCCACAACAGCTTTCTTGAACAGTATGTAACAGAACCGACGAGTGAGGAAGCTAACCTAGATCTGGTCCTGTGTAATGAGACAGGGATAATTAATAATCTCATATTTAGGAATCCTCTTGGAAGGAGCGATCACAAAATGGTTGAATTTAGAATACAGATGGAAAGTGAGAAGCTAAAAACCAATGCCACAGTCCTGTGCTTAAACAAAGGGGACTACAATAGGATGAGGAAGGAGTTGGCTAAAGTAGACTGGAAACAAAACTCTGGAGAGACAGTTCAGGATCAGTGGAGGACTTTCAAAGCAATTTTTCAAAGTGCTTAGCAAAAGTATATACCAGGGAAAAGGAAGGACTGTAGGAAAAGAGGTAATCAGCCATGCATGTCTAAGGAAATAAGGGAGGCTATCAAATTGAAAGATAAGGCAGACAAAGTGGCAAAGACCAGTAGGAAACTAGAAGACTGGGAAAATTTTATAGGTCAGAAAGCCATAAGAAAGGCTATAGAGAAAAGATAGACAGATTACAAGACTAAACTACCTCAGAATATAAAGACAGATAGCAAAAGTTTCTATTAGTATATAAAATGGAAGAGTTGCTAAGGTCCTTTAGAGGATGAAAAGGGGAATTTAATAATGGGAATTAAAGAAATAGCTGAGGTACTGAACTGGTATTTTGTGTCGGTCTTCACAGTGGAGGACACAAATAACTTGCCAGTAATTGATGACAAAGAGACCAACATAGGGGAGGACCTAGACACTATCATTATCACGAAAGAGGTAGTGTTGGGCAAGCTAATGGAGCTAAAGGTAGACAAGTTTCCTGGCCCTGATGGAATGCACCCCAGGGTACTAAAAGAGATGGTGGGAGTAAAAGTAAATGCACTCGTGGTAATTTTCCAAAATTCGCTGGACTCTGGGGCAGTTCCAGCAGATTGGAAAATAACCAATGTTCAAAAAAAGAGGTACACAAAAGATGGGGAATTGTAGGCCAGTCAGTTTAACTTCTGTAGTGGGGAAAATGCTTGAATCTATCATTGAAGAAGAAATACCAAGACATCTAGATACAAACTGCCCCACTGGGTAGACAACACAGGTTCATGAAAGGCAGGTCATGCTTGACTAATTTGCTGGAATTCTATGAAGACATTACAAGCATGGTGGACAATAGGGACCCACTAGATGTGGTGTATTTGGATTTCCAAAAGGCATTCAACAAGGTGCCGCACAAAAAGTGGTGCACAAGATAAAGGTGCACAGCATTACAGGCAATGCATTAACATGGATCGAGGATTGGTTAACAGGAAGCAAAGAGTGGGGATAAATGAGTGCTTTTCTGGTTGGCAAACAGTGACTAGTGGTGCACTTCAGGGATCAGCGCTGGGACCGCAATTGCTTATAATTTACATAGATGATTCAGAGTTGGGGACCACGTGTAGTGTGTCCAAGTTTGCTAATGACACGAAGATGAGTGGTACAGCAAAGTTTGCAGAGGACTCGAAGTTTGCAGAGGGATATAGATAATTTAAGTGAGCGGGCGAAGGTCTAGCAGATGAAATACAATGTTCATAAATGTGAAGTCATCCATTTTGGTAGGAATGGTAAAAGGGACTATTACTTGCACAGTAAAAAATTGCAGGATGCTGTTGTGCAGAGGGACCTGGGTGTCCTTGTGCATGAATCGCAGAAGATTGGTTTGCAGGTACAACAGGTAATTAAGGCAGCAAATGGAATTTTGTCCATTGCTAGAGGGATTGAGTTTAAAGGCAAGGAGGTTATGTTGCAGCTGTATAGGGTGCTGGTGAGACCACAACTAGAGTATTGCGTGCAGTTTTGGTCTATTTGAGAAAGGAGATATTAGCACTGGAGGGGGTACAGAGGAGATTCACTAAATTGATTCCAGAATTGAGGGTTGGCTTATGAGGAGAGGCTGAATAGACTGGGATTATACTCACTAGAATTTAGAAGAATTTTATGTTTCTATCTTAACATAAAATTATGAAGGGAATAGATAAGATAGAAGCAGGGAGGTGCTTTCTACTGGTGGGTAAAACTAGATCCACAGGGCACAGCCTCAAAATAAGGGGGAGCAGATTTAGGACTGAATTGAGGAGGAACTTCTTCACCCAATGGGTTGAGAATCTGTGGAATTCCCTGCCCAGTGAAGTAGTTGAGGCTTCCTCATTGAATGTTTTTAAAGCTAAGACAGATATTTTTTGAATAGAGAAGGAATTTAAGGTTATAGTGAGGCCATGAAAAGATCAGCCATGATCTTAATGAATAAGAAGAGCAGGCTCAATGTGCCAGGTGGCCTACTCCTGCTCCTGGCTCTTATGCTCTATGTTCTAACCAGGGTCAAGTTATTCTGTATCTGGTGTTGTGTAATGAGGCAGGTTTAAGAAATGATGTCAGAATGAAAGATCCCGCAGGAAACAGGAACCACAACTTGGTAGAATTTAACATTCAGTCTGAGAGTGATGAATGTGGGTAAGAAACAATAGTGCTAAACTTAAATCAGGGTAATTACACAGGGATGAAGGCAAGATTGGCTGGAGTAGACTGGGAAATATTTTTAGCAAAAAAGACGTTTGATGAACAATGGCCAACATTGAAAAAAAAACAGTTCATGACTCACAGCAAATATATATCCCAGTGAGGAAGGAGGATTCCAAGAAAGGGAAGAGCAACTATGGTTAACTAAGGAAGTTAGGGACAGTATCAAAACAAAAGAAAAAAATGTGGTAAACCAGAGGTCCGAGTAAGTTTTTAAAGCAAAATAAAAGACTAAAAAAGAGAAGGGAAACATAAACTATGAGGGGAAACTAGGAAGTAATATAAAAACAAACAGTAACAGCTTCTTTAAATATATAAAAATTTAAGAGATTTAACCTAACTTGTCATTGGGAAAATGTTAGGGTCAATTTTAAAGGACATAATGGTATATTATGAATTTCTAAATGCTCTAATAAAGGAAAGTCAGCAAGGTTTCATGAAGAACCAATCATGTCTAATAAATTTAATAGAATTTATCATGCAACTTGGCAAGAGGAACAGAGGAGTGGAATATTACTAAAACAGAGAAAGACTGCAGAAAGCTGCAGCACAGAGGGATTTGAGAATCCTTATGCACGAGTCAAAAAAAAAACTAGCATCCATGTTAAGCAGATAATAGGGGAGGCAAGTAGGCCTTCAATTTCAAAGGGCACGGAGTATAAAAATGGGGAAATCTTTCTACAACTAAGCAAGGCCCCAGTCAGACCACATCCTGAATAATGCAAGCAGTTTATATAATGGAAGATATATCAGCATTGGACTCATGAGGCTAATCAAGACATGCAAGATACACTAACACTGGAGGCAGTCCACAGAATGTTCACTCGGTTGATACCAGGCATGGAGAAATTGAGGAGAGGTTGGGTCTGGACTCTTGAGTTTAGATGAATGAGAGGACACTTTATTGAAACAACAAAGATCCTTCGCGATCTTGACAGGATAGATGTAGAGAGGTTGTTTCCCCTTTGAGAGCATTTGGACCGCAGGGCACAATTTGGGAGCAATGGCTGGGACATTTAAGATAAACGAGGAGAAACTTCGTCTCTCAAATAGTGAACCTGGAATTCTTTACTGCAGAGGACTGTTGAGGTTCCATCAAAACTGTTCAAGGCTGAGATGGACAGATTGATTAGCGAGGGAATTATGAATAGGCAGAAAAACAGAGTTGAGGATTACCAGATTAACCATGATCTCAATGCATAGCTAACTTGATGAGCTGAACGGAAACTTCTGCTCCCATGTCTGGAGGTTTTATTTGCTACAAGTAGGCCAGACAATTACTTGAAGGTACTTAATCTCAGAGTCATGATTTACACAAGGGAGTTGGATAAACACCGGAGGAAAGAACTGAGGTCGAGATCACAGGGTTGTACATAAAGACCTGATAGAAAGAATTGATTCAGTCTATACTCAAGCTGTTCTGCAATTGTCCTTTGATACAAACTGAAGCAAGCTGCACTGGATGAATACTGAACACATTCACGTGACATTCCTCTGTTCATTACTTGATCGCAGAACCATCTATTTTAAAAAGATTACTGTCAAAGTTAAAGCCATAAATGGGAAATCACAAGGGTGTGCATGAAGGGACTGAAAACATTCATCATTTGACAATAATCCAAGGCTCACACTTTAACATCACATCCATAGTTTGAATGAAAAGCTACCTACCTCCCCATAAATGGAGTTATTTTGACATTTGAAAAGACTGTACGAATGTAGAATGTAATAACCACTTCCATCTTTACGCTGTTCTGTGGCAGAACCAAAATATTTTGCTGCTGTGTCATCCTATAGGAGAAATATGAATTATTATAAACAATGGAACACATTGAGAATTTTATACAAAAGGGCACTTTGGGAAGAAGGGCATACGCAGTTGCTTATAGTTTTACGTAAAGCTACCACTTACTAAATTACAACCACTTGTACTCAGTGCTATGTAATTAATGCCAAGTGCTCCATCACTTCACAGCTCTGCTCCATACAAAAGTCCCTGATAATTTCATCTGTTGCATGGTCTACCCTCAACAATATTCTTCCCAGCCGTTCCACAAGCTAGTCAATGATCTTACCAAAGGGTGAGTGTGGACAGGATGCAGACAGATGGGGAGAATGACTAACCACTTCCACTTTTCAGCTCTTCTGTTGTTTACTCTTGTAGAGGGAGAGTATCTTACAGTGGAACTTTGCCAGATCAGTCATTTCTGACCACCTCTGCCTAATTCTTTGTTTATAAGGAACAACAGCTGAAAAGTATTGTCCTTCTAGTCTCTAAACCATGAAATGGGACCCTTGTGATGGTAGTATCCCTACTTTGGAGTCAAAAGTCCTGGAGGTTCAAGTCCCACCTGCTCCAGAGTTCCACATCTGGACAGGTTGATTAAAAACATCTAAAACTATGAAATTCAGCAATATAGCCTTTCTACCACAAAGTGGCGCTACACAGTACTAGGAGGACACTAATGTGTTGGCCACTCATGACAAAATGCATCCATTTAACACAAAATCAAGCTGAAAAATTATAGTCGAATACAGGCCACAGCTGGTACCCATACAACACCTAATGCAAACTGCAGCTACTTCCTGTCAAATATGGTACACCTGCCAAATGTGAAATGGCTAGTATAACGCAAGACTAAAATGTTTCCGTTATTTTAAATCACTAGGTCTTGAGAACATTTTTTTAAACCCCATTATCTTCCCTCCAAAATTTTGCTCAGTAGCTTAGCCTATCATTAATTTAAAATTATACTGGTTATAATTTCACTAGAATACAATGAAGATACTTGAGAAAACAATGTAGGTTATTCAATACAGGCAAAGAAAGGGTAGTAACTTGGAGCATCTTCCACAACCTTCAGAATGCTATAGTCAACAAAAGCCTTCAGTGAATCAATGCTGTATACAGAAGAATTGTGGAGGCCAATTTGTGCAAAACAAGTTCCTACAAATAGCATAATGACCAGATTTTCTTTTGAAACAGGTTGCTCAAGAGATACATGTCGGCTACAGTTCCCTTGCTCTTCTCAGAAGTAGTACAACAGGATCTCAAACATAAAACAGCGCTAACGTCACTTCTAAAAAGGTGACACTTTAAATAATACAGTACAGACTGAAATAAGAGTGTCATACAGGAACACAAGTCCGAAGTAATCAAGCACCAAAAGAACAGTAGAGGGCAAGAAGCACTTGCTTAGCAATAACCTGTTCACTCCTGAACCTAATTACAATTGGTTCAAACACGGACAAAGAATCCAGAGCTGAGAGAGTGACTGCCCTTGACATCAAGGCAGCCATTGACTGAGTATGGCATTAACAGCTCAAGCAAAACTGGAATCAATTGTTACTGAGGAAAGCTGTCTGCTGGTTGGAATCATACCTTGCACAAAGAAAGATGGTTGCAGCTACTGGAAGTCAAACATCTCAATCCCAGAACATCTCTGCAGGAACACCTCAGGCAGTAGAATCATAGAATCAGATAGTACAGAAGGAGGAAGGGTCACCCGACCCGAAACGTTAACCCTGTTTTTTCCTTCACAGCTGCTGCCAGACCTGCTGAGTTTCTCCAGCAACTTTGTTTTTGAGTACAGAAGGAGGCCTTCAGCCCATTGAGTCTGTACGCCAAAGAATAGACTACCATCTACAGTAGTCCCACTTTCCATACTAGGCTTAAAGCCTTGAATGCTATGATACTTCAAGTACACATCCAAGTACTTCTTAAGAATTGTGAGGTTGCCTGCTGCAAATACCCTCCCAGGCAGTGCATTTCAGACTGCATCACCCCGGGTGAAAAAAAGTTTTCCTCATATGACCTCGTTAACTTCTGCTTTTCATTTTAAAAGTCTGCCCCTTGTTATTGACCCTTCAACAGTGGCACCCACTTCCCACAAACAAATGAAAAATTAAATTTAGGAATATCTGGAAACTTTGAGATAGAATATAATAATCAGTAAGCTATTAGTAATGTGGAAATGCTCGGTGTCCTTCTGGATGGATAAATTGACAGGAAAATGGGCATCCACATCTGTAAGAAATTTCACAAAATAATACTGTAATTTGCCATTGATCCAAAACCACAAATGCTGAGGAACAACAGATTAAGTGATGTATGGAAGAGAATAGATTCCTATAGCAGACACAGGCTGCTTCACTGTGTTGGTTCAAGCTGAAAATATACCCTTTCCAGCATTTTCCAGTTTAAAAAAAAAATCACCATTCAACACATCCACAGTTTTAATGTTACAATCACCAGTAAACATAAAACACAGTGATAACCAGAGCAAACATGACTTACATTCACTGCAGAATATTCATCAAAGCAATGAAAACTTCTCAAATACCATGAGACGTTCAGGTTTATTTCAGAGTCACACTTCTCCTGGGTCCCTGAAACACAAGAGAACATTAATTGTCCCTAAGGAACTGTCGCTGGTCTAAAGTTAACACACCTACTGTTTCTATGGCTCCCTGATCCTTTCTTCGCAGATGGCAAAACACTCAGGTGCCTTAGGTGGATTGGCTTGGCATTGTTTCAGGACATCAGGAAATCACAACAAACCCAGAGGGAGAAGGTGCTTTGGATTCACGCGCAATGCTTAAGACATGAAAATGAGCCCTTAAAATTCTTTGGCCAAGTGCTTTCAGAAATGTTTTGGAAACATGGTTAATTAACCAGACCCAATTTGTAAGCAAAAGTAACTCTCCCTTTATGCTACTACTAGACTTGTGCCATTCTCTGGCTGATGGCAGTTTTTCTTTTGCAAATGCACAATTGGAGGTACAATGGAGGTCAACATAAGTCACGATTCCCCATTTACTGTGGGAAGCAGCCAATTGCATTTCCTTCTCCTCAGAACACCCCGAACAGAAAAGTGGAACCTAAAGGTACAGGAGGAAGATTCTGCATTAGTCTCTTACAGCTCAGGAAATTGCAGTGCCAGGGACATCCGAATTAAGCCCAAAAGCAAACACATTCACCACTGGATCAGGGTGGAAATACAGTACTCACACTTCAGGGTAATGTACGAGCTGTTAAACAATGTTTTCTTCTGTAGAAATTGAGTTTGAGATTGATTCTGGAAAGAAATAAAACAATTGAATCAAGCAATGCAAAGGAGAAAGCCATTTGGCCTATCACATTAGCTTCCTGGTCCTTTTTACTGGAACAAGTTTGTTTTTATTTCAGATTTTAAAAAAATACTGCAGTACAATTCACAAACTGCTACAATGGGATTTGAATTCTGATCCTTCAAATTATTCATTCATTAATATGGCCACTACAGCAAAAAAAAAGACAAGTATCACCCCAACCTAATGGGTATCTATTTAACGTAGCAACTCTTGCCGGAATGAGGTCGTTCCCTCTAATTTTAGGTACTCCTCGACAAATATTTGCGTTCAGTCTATTTCTCCAATATGTTTAATCTAGAGCTGACATCATACAGCAGAGCACAATGAATGCAAGGGGCGTTTCTCTGCTGTCGCATAGCTGAGCAATTTACAGGGAATACTGGTCAGATCCAATATTTTAACAAGTGGTCATACTTCCTTCATAAAGTTCCAGTGACTGCAGGATCTTCAACAGAGCATCAAGATGCACTGCAAATAGGCGAGGGCCTGCAGAAGAGGGCAGTAGATTTGGGCGAGAGTCCGTCCCGGTCACAGCGAGGACCCAAGGCAGCGGGCTGGAGGTAACGGGCCCGGGGTCAGGCTATGACCGAATGACTGCGGGAAATAGCCCGGGGCAAGCGGCCAGGGCAGTGGCAACTCGAGTCTGCCTGCAGTTCCAGTCCATCAGGAGGCGGCAGCAATGCGGCTTAGCCTAGAGCCTCTTCTAGCTCACACTTACCCCGCCAACTCTTAGCCTCCACTTGCCGGCCTCAGAGAGGCCCAGAGCGAGTTCTGGCGCTGAGACGGCACACGTAAGAAACAGCAGGAGCGAGTACGGGCCGAGCGGCCTCCTCCCCACCGCCATCTTGTTTACACTGAACGGAAGTGGCTGCCCTGCTGGTTTGTGGCGTCATTGCGCACCATTTGCCCACCACAACGTCATCCATTGTGGTCTAATCGCGTTAGCTGTCAATCATATCTGGTCGAAACCGCGCCCACCTCTTAAAGGGACCGCTCCAACACAACTCCCACATTTCCCCAAATAGTAAGTGTTGTTCTGGAAATTAGCGTGGGTCCCACCTATATGATGAGTAAGACGAACATTGTTGGTTTCATCAACTGTATTTAGAATGACCATCTTTCTCTCACCTTCACCTGTTCCATCTCTGACTTCTTCCTGATTTCTGATAACCAGCTATTAACCATGTCCTGCAATGGAGTCTTTGCATTTGAAATGTTACTTCTGGTTCCCTGTCCACAGATGCTGCCAGATTAGCTGAGTTTCAACCGCTACAAGCAACTTGACTACACTATCTCCCACTGTGCTTCCCAACAATGAACTCCATTCTATTCTCTATTTCACTGTCCCCATTGCATCTGATATAAAAAATCAACCTTCAATTCTAAAGCTTCTAATATGTCCTTCTTCTTGAACCAGTGTGATGCCATAATTAAATAGATAAGACCATAAGACCTTAAAATATAGGATTAGTAGTAAACTGTTCAGCCCATTGAGGCTGCTCCACTGTTTAATGAGATTATGGCTGATCTGATAATTCTCGACTCCATCATCCTGCCCTTTACCAATAATGCTTGATTCTCTTCCTCCCTTCTATATGTAGACAGGTCACTTGTGGTGATTGAAACTCAGCAGATCTGGCAGCATCTGTAGTGAGAGAACGAGAATTAACATTTCAAATCCAAAGGCTCTGTTGCAAGACATGGTTAATAGCCGATTGTCAGAAATGAGGAAGAAGGGAAGAATCAGAGATGGAACAGGTGAAGGTGAGAGAAAGGTGGCGCACTGTTATATAGTTGGGAAAGAGTTGCCTTGAGAGTCCTCAACTTTGAACCTTAACACCATGAATTCTTAATGCATCAGGTCAAACATGTGCAAAGAAACCTCCTGCTGACTGAGAAGGGGCTTTCAATGTTCACACCAAGAGTGGCTTAACAATACCACTACTGATCGAGCTGGTCAAGTCCTAAGGACATAGCTGCTAGACTGGGTTTGTGGCAGGTGGTGAGGGACCCAACAAGAGAAGAAAACATTCTTGACCTCATTCTTACCAATCTGCCGGCTGCAGATGCATCTGACCATGACAGTATTGCTAACAGTGACCATTGCACAGTCCTTATGGGGACAAAATCCCATCTTCACATTGAGAATACCCTTCATCATGCTGTATGACACTATCACCATGCTAAATGGTATAGACTTCGAACAGATCTAGCAACTCTAGACTGGGCATCCATGAGGTGCTGCAGGCTATCAACAGCAGCAGAATTGTACTCCAGCACAATCTGCAACCTCGTGACCCGGCATATTCCCCACTCAACCATTACCATCAACCCTGGTTCAATGGAGAGTGTAGGAGGGCTTGCCTGAAACAGTATCAGGCATACCTGAAAATAAGATGTCAACCTGGTGAAGCTACCAAACAGGTTTACTTGTGTGTCAAAAGCATAAGCAGCAAGTGATAGACAGAGCTGTGATACCACAACAAATGGATCAGATCTAAGCTCTGCAGTCTTACCATGTGAATGGTGGTGGACAATTAAACAACTCACTAGAGGGGGAGGAGATTCCACAAACATCCCAATCCTCAAAGATGGGGAGCCCCAGCACATCAGTGCAAAAGGGAAGACTGAAGCATTCGCAACAATTTCCAGCCAGAAGTGCTAATGGATGATCTATCTCAGCTTTTTCCAGCATTACAGATACCAGCCTTTAGCCAATTCTATTCTCTCCACATAATATCAAAAAATGTTTGGAAACACTGGATATTGCAAAAGCAAAAGATATTGACAACATTCCAGCAATCTTACTGAAGACTTGTGCTCCAGAACTTGCTGTTCCCCTAACCAATCTCTTCCAGGAGACTTACAATACTGGCAGTTACCCAAAAATGTGGAACATTTTTTAATTGCAAAAATATACTTTATTCATAGAAGGAAATCTTTATGTACATACACAGTTAATGAAGCCGTTCAGATCTATCCTGTTTTTACTCAGAGCAGAAAACAAACATTGGGGTTTGGCTTTCTCTATATTTACAATTAAACTATAGGCATTTAGTTGAGGCATTGGGAGCGTCCGATTATTGAATGGACCCCCGTTATGCTTTGGCAGAAGGACCTTACATTGTGGTCTTTCCTCACTGTGCCTTAGTGGCAGCTGCCCCAACTTTTAGAGCATCCCTCAGCATGTAGTCCTGGACCTTGGAAACCGCCAGTCTGCAACACTCAGTCAGGGTCAACTCTTTCAACTGGAAGACCAACAAGTTTCAGGCAGAACGTCTTTCACCAAGTTGATGGTACTCCAGGCGCAGTTGAACAGACCATAGAGCACAGAGATCTGCAAGACAGAGCTGCTTGGGACAAACCTCGACAAAACAACTGCATCTCTCTCCAGACTTGCTTTGCATAGACACATCCCAGAAGGAGGTGTATGATAGTCTCATCCCCTCTGCAGCCGCTTCGAGGGCAGCATGTGGTGGCACAGAGAGTCCAGGCATGCATGAAGGATCTCACAGGCAGACCCCTTCTTACCACCAGCCAAGTGATGTCTTGGTGCTAGTTGGAAAGTTCTGGTGATAAGGCATTCTGCCAAATGATTTTGACAGTCTGCACAGGGAACCACTCAACAAGATCCACCCTCTCCTTTCCTGACGGGTCTCAAGGACACTACTTGCTGACGACTGCCTGATAGACTTGTGGTCAAAGGTGTTTTTCTTCACAAATTTATCCACGAAGGACAGGTGATACAGGACGGTCCAACTACTTGGAGAGATCTGCAGCAACGAGACCAGGCCTATCCTTCGCAACACCTGTGCTGTCAGTGGGCTTTGTGTCATACAGAGTGGCTTAAAAGGATTTGCTGATTATCAGGATGTCCGACTGAGATGATATCACCGAGCCATCTTCTTCCTTCAGGCTGCTGAGCACAGAGCTTTCCTTGTGCACTTTCTGGAAGAAGAAACACGAGCACATCTCATCCTGCACCATACAGCGGACCCTGGACTGGAAGATTATCTTGGAGGCCTCCAAGGCAAAGAGCGAGGCTTACTGGCTGTTCACCTCCAGGAGATCCTCTGTGCTATCGACCCCCATCGTCTGCAGCAGGAGCAGGTTCTGCATCCCTTGCCAGCCTGCTAGTCATCCTATATGTAACTGTTGGCCAGCAAGAGGCAGTGGTCAGAGAAGAACACCGGCTTCACATCAGTGGATCTGACCGAGAACAATTGGGACACAAACAGGAAATCTATCCTTGAGCGAATAGACCAGTCTGGCCACGATCAGATGTTTCTACGCTGCACTCCATCTGCAGGGGTGCTGAAGACATTGTGTAGCTTGGCGTCTTTAACCGTTTCCATCAGGAATCTGGGCTTGGCATCCAGTTTACTGTCACTCCCCCTGGATCATCCATCTGCATCGATGATGAAGTTGAAGTCTCCGGCCAGAATGACCAGCCTGGACGTAGCCAGCAGGAATGGAAGCTGCTGCAGGACGGCCAGATGCTCACTCTCTACTGCTGGGGCGTACACATTAATTAATCTCAGGGGAGCATTCCTGTACGTAACGTCTGCTATGAGGATGCACCCACCAACCACCTCCTTAACTTTGGAGGTGGTGAAGTTGCCTCCTCGCAGCAGAGTACCCAGACTGGGGGAGCAACAATTGTTGCCCTCTGATCAAATTGAAGGCTCATGGGCCCACAAGCTCAACCATTTCCATAGCTGCTGAGGTGCGGTATCCCACACTCCTGCAGAAACAGGAGGTCTGCTTTAATTTGGGCAGGTAAGCCAGTGGAAACACGTCGTGTGGTAGATTTAATGCTATGCACATTAATACTCGCAGTTCTTAAACCCATTTTGGATTTACACAATTGTTAAAACCCAAAGTCTATTTACTCAAGGTCTTATCACTGGGGCAGTCCCTGCATCCCAGTGGCGTGGGCAAACTGTGGAACCCTCCCTGGGCTGAGGTAGCTGTCCAGTTCCTCCCCGGGGCAGTTTCCCCTGTCTGATATCATCGGGGAAAGGAAGAAGCCAGGGACATCTGATTCTGAGTCCAACCGAAGTGCTGATGTCCCCTGATCCTTACACAAAACCTCGCTACTCCCGGTCACCCGGAGCTGTGGTGTGGAGGAACTCCCTTGGTTCTCAACAGTGGAGGGCTGGGTTTTGCTAAGCCGCTCACGATGTCCGCCATTTTCGCATTAGGGGAATGCTCCTTTCCTTCTGTTGATCCTCCCTTTCTGCTGGTGACCCTCCCTCTGTAAGTCTTCTTCATCAGAGGAGCTGCTACTGTGACCATCGTGCAGTTGCTTCTTTCCATTCTGTTGCCGTGGACATGTGGGGTCTGGCAAGATTTTCTATTTTGGATTTTCTTCACTATTTTCCACATCCCCGACTCCTTTGTCATCACCTCCTCCATTGACTCGGGGTTCCCATAGAACATAGTACATAGAACTGTACAGCACAGTATAGGCCCTTCGGCCCACGATGTTGTGCTGAACTTTTACCCTAAACCTAAGGTCTATCTAACCTCCACCGCTACCTTATACTATCATCCATATGCCTATCTAATAGCCTATCTAATGCCTACCTAATAGATCATCGAGATGCTGAGCACATCATTGATAAGAATTTTAATGAGGTGATCACACCTAAGGTGCAGGCAGAGAATAACTGGGTGACCACCAGGAAAGGCAAAGGGAGTAGGCAGAGAGTGCAGGAATCCCCTGTGGTCATCTCCTCGAAACCAAGTATACCCTTCTGGATACTGTTGGAGGGGGATGACTGTTCAGGGGAAAGCAGCAGTAGCCAGGACTGGCTTTGGGGCACAGCGGGAAAGGGTAAAGATAAACAAGACCTTAGTGATAGGAGACTTGATAGTTAGGCGGACAG